GTCACAATATGGAAGCGAGTGCTTTTAACGATAATGACATAATACGATGCAAGATCATTGGCTTATCTATTTGATATAATACTGTGGACAAATCATTGTGTGATTAATCTTATTTTAATGTCTAACACAAATAACTACATATTAATAAAACATCTAATAACCACCTAATATATCTTGTGATGTATTTTGGAAAAGATGTTCTATTATGTATAATTAGGAATTATTCTTTTTTTAAAAGAATAAGAATTTTTTATCTACGAAACATTAAGGAATTAACTATAGAAACAATTTGGTATAAAAACATACAAATGTTTATAAAGTACTTTTTTTTAATAATCTTAACAGTTGGTGACAATGACTTGGGGGACCAACAGGACATCAAATAATGAATCAGATCAAGTTTCACAGAAAAAATATGGTAGTGAAATTTCTGTTTGCTACAAAGAACTTCCAGTGAGTTTAATTTTTTTTTTTAATAATTTTAGTAATTTTGAATACAATATATTATTAAAGTTATATTTATTTATTTTCTTATTAAAGATCAATGGATCTATTTCAATTGTACTATGTTGAATACGTAAATCTTAAAAAATTAATAAATGTAATAATGATTCTGATGAATTATTAATGTTTATTAACACATTCATTGTCATTAGAAACTTTAGGCTTTCCATAGTATTTTAAGAAATGAGGTAAAGTTAAATTTAATTATATTTGCACTTTTACTTTTCTATTTTCTAAGTTTTACTTTCATATGAACATTGTGGATCATTAATTAGTCAGGTGTTTTCTTATTTACATACCTGATTTACCTATACTGAAGATATGATTGATTACTTAATCAATCATATCTTCAGTATAGGTATTGTAAAGTTTATTATTTTTTTATTGTAATTATAATTTATTTCAGTCTATCTGCATGGAAGCTCCATTCAGCGATGAACCTGAAGCAATTGCTGAAAGAGGTGTATGTGACTATAATATTCGCATTACATTGAAAATGGCAAAAAGTGGTAAAGGTTAGTTTAAATGGTTGTCAGATGAGCAGAAGCTTCATGGCTTTATTTGAAATATCGGTAAGTAACATAATCTTTATTTTAGCTCCTAGGAAAGTCAGGGTATATGCAGATGGTATTTATGATCTATTTCATCAAGGACACGCACGACAACTCTTACAAGCAAAAAATATTTTCCCAAATGTTTACCTTATTGTTGGAGGTGAGTGCAATGAATATAATTTCACTATAGTGCTTGAAATATAGAAGTAGCATAGATTATAAAGCATATACTTTAAATGAGGTGCAATATCACAGAATGCAAAGGATTGTAGAATACATGTTTTTGATTTTGCAATGAAGATGAAAGTAAATGAACAGAAAAAAATACGACATAAATTTTACGGTTTTACAGTTTGTAATGATGAGCTTACCCATAGTAAGAAAGGTAGAACTGTGATGACTGATATTGAAAGGTATGATGCAGTAAGGCATTGTCGATATGTAGATGAAGTAGTTAGAGATGCTCCATGGGAGTTGGATGATGAGTTTCTAAAAAGACATAAGGTATAATTGACCATGTGACTAATTTTCATTATTAAAAATAGAAATATGAATTGTTAATAGCATGGTAATCAATATTGCAGATCGATTTTGTTGCACATGATGATATACCCTACATGACGGATGATAGTACAGATGTGTATGCTGCATTGAAAGCAAAAGGTATGTTTGTAGCTACACAAAGAACAGAAGGAGTATCAACATCAGATATTGTAGCCAGAATAGTTAAGGATTATGATATTTATGTAAGAAGAAATCTTGCACGAGGTTACAGTGCCAAAGAACTGAATGTTTCTTTTCTCAATGTATGTAATAAATGCTGTAATGTAGAATGCAGTTATATCATTTTATGCTAAATAGTTTCTAATTGTAGGAAAAGAAATTTCGGTTGCAGAATAAATTTGATGATTTAAAAGATAAGGGAAAACGTGTTATGGAAAACATTGGTGAAAAACGTATGGATATGATTAGTAAATGGGAAGAAAAGTCTCGAGATTTTATTGATGCTTTTCTGCTATTATTTGGCAGAGAAGGCAGATTGGTAGGTATTTTGTACTCACTATTATAGTATGTCAAAATATAGATTCACAATGTTTATTAAACAACCTATTAATATTAGTCATTGCATTTTTCAAACTAAATCGATAATTATGAACTTAAATTTTTAAAATCTGTTCGTGGAATTTTATTGTATTGCATTGTATTGTTATGTATATACCATTATAACATAATTTTTTGTTATCCACAGTCGACAATTTGGAATGAAAGTAAAGGTCGTTTGATGCAAGCACTATCTCCTCCTGCAAGTCCAAAAAGGGATGGCAGTCCTAATAGCAGTAATAGCAGCAATAATGAAGAAGATCAAACAAGGTACATCTCAGCATTCAAGTCAATTGATTAATATGCAACACTACTTCATTCTGTACCGCTTCCATACGAAAACCTTCAATACTTCACACCACCCACTTGCAGCATGTTATGTTAGTATACTATCCTATGTTGTTAAATTAATGAGATTAATAGTAAGTAATAATATGCAATTTCTTTGATGCTTGTTACTAATACTGCTAAAATCGTTAGAAGAAATTTGAACAATTCATTAAGAAAAAAGAAATAATTTTTGATAATTAGGGATACAATTCATGTTACACATTTAAAAGCACTGATAATTATACTTCAGAAAAGCGTGTTCAAAGTTTCTTCATTTTTCGATTTAATTTAAACATTGTATCTTACAAAATTTGTATGTGAATACACTATAAATATAAAATATGATAATATATATATACACCAAAATTATTGTACAAGCGGGATATGAGAGGTTCCTGAGGTCATTTCAAGCAACATTTTTTTTAGCAAAAATGCAATTCGCGGCTTTATTTACCAGTTATTAACGAAAAACAGTGATGAATGAGTAGCGAGCTTGGCAGCTGAATGGTGGTCGTACCAGTGAGCCGAACCCGGTTTCGCTTCGGGGCGCGACAGTAGGAGGGGGCTATGCTCAGGCTCCGTGCTGAACGGATTTTAACGAATAATTCGCAAAGCTATTTTATTGATAAATCACTCCGTTACAGAACATAAAGGATTTGTTTGTTTCAGAAATGTGAAAAATATTATTAATAAGAAACTCGCCCATTTAGTTGTAAATTCACTTCATGCTCGGAAATATGTGCAGGAGGATAGTGCATTACCTCACGCAATGTATGATGAACTGCACAGCTGATTTGTGTTCCACGGTGATGATCAGAAGGATGTGTTCGGGCAGGCTATTCTAACGTCCACTTTCACTGCACTATCACTGAACACTGATCACTTATTCAATAATAATTATGGACTAACTTTCCTGATTTAATATGTGTGTCCAAAAAGTGCCGATTTATGAGACATGTCACCGTCGTACACAGATCAGCTGTGCAGTTCATCATACATTGCATGAGGTTAATGCACTATCCTTCTGCACATATTTCCGAGCATGAGATGAATTTACAACTAAATGGGTGAGTTTCTTATTAATAATATTTTTCACATTTCTGAAACAAACAAATTCTTCACATTTTGTAACGGGATTATTTATCAATAAAATAGCTTTCCAAATTATTCGTTGAATTCTGTTCGGTCACGGAATTATTTAAATTAAAATATTATTTTCGTACTTCGACGTATATAATTTATTGTTAATCTTCACTGTACACATCACATACAAATTTCATATGGCACATATGAGGTGCGATATTATCATATTTTATACTTACGGTGTATGTATTCACGTTTTGTAACATATTTTGTAACATACATATTGTATATGTATATGTACATATACATAACAAAATTTAAATATGACTTTCTGACGCGTAATAATCAGTGTTTTTAATTGTGTAACTGTATCCCCAATTATCAAAAATTATTTCTCTTTTTGCTAATAAAAAAAAACCATAATGATCTTACGACCTTAATGAATTGTTTAAATTTATTTATATATGTATATACACATATCTATTGTTTGTAAAAATATGACTGTGTCTAATATACTTATTTTATTTTACAGTCCACCACCAAAAAAGACTGGCCGTTTTGAATTTTCAGGAAATAGTTATTACTTAAGTGATGACTATAGCGATGACGAAGAAGAAAATTTGCGCTCTAAATGATAATACGTTTTCTCACATTAGTCTTCTGACCAAAAAATAATATGCAATTTCTTTAAAAATGTTTAGAGATATTTTCATATAGCTAAGTGAACTGCTAATATGAACTACAATGCTATGCTTCATAGGCTTTTGTATAGCATGATTTCATACTGTTCACAACATACAACTACCTGTTACGACATAGAATTTTAACCAGATTATGGAATATAATATACAGATTATGTATTACAGATCTACATTATTATGTTTAAATGTTATATATTATTTAAATCTTCTGTTGCA